ATGAAGAACAAAAACCATATGATCATCTCCATACATGCAGAAAAAGCATTTGATAGCATTCAACACTGCTTCATGATAAAAATCTTCCACAAACTATGTGTGGAGGGGCTGATGTTGTGACACAACAGGTTAAAGTGCCGGCCTATAGCACTGATACCCTGTATGGGCACCAGTTCGAGTCCCCACTGCTCTACTTCCCATCCAGCTCCTTGCTAATGCTTCTGGGAAATCAGCAGAGGATGACCCAAGTGCTTGGGCCCCTGCACCCATGTGGGAGACTCGGAGGAATCTCCTGGCTCCTGGCTTTGAATTGGCACAGCTCCGGCCATTTCTTCCATTTGGAGAGTGAACCAGTGGATGGTAGACACACTCTCTCTCTCTCTCTCTCTCTCTCTCTCTCTCTCTCTGTCTCTCTCTCTCCCACACACAGTCTGCCTCTCTGTAACTGTGCCTTTCAAATAAATAAATAAACTTAAATATATATATTATATATATATATAGGTATACAAGTAAAATTCCTAAAATTTATAAGGAATATATATCACAAACCAACAGTCAATATACTGAATGAGGAAAAGCTGAAAGCACTTCCTCTCAACAAGCCAAAAGCATTTCCTCTGGAACAAGACAGGGATGTCCACTTTCACCACTCTTATTCAATATAGATGGAAGGTTTAGTGAGAGCAATTGAGAAAGAAACAAATGGCATCAAAATTGGGGGAAAAAAGCAAGTCAAATTATCCGTGTTTGCATATGACATGATGTTGTATATGGAAAAAACTGAACACTCCACTGAGAAGCTGTTAGAATTGATAATCCAATTCAGTAAAGTTGCAGGTTACAAAATAAACATATAAAAACCAGTAGCTTTTTGTATGTTATTGATGAATTCACAGAAACAGAAATCAATAAAGAAATCCAATTAACAATTACCACCTAAAATCAAATATTGAGGAATAAATTTAACAAAAGAAGTGCATGATATCCACAATGAAAATTATCAAACATTGATGAGAGAAATCATTAAGGACACAAAAAATTGAAATATATGCATTGTTCATGGATCAGAAGAATCAATATCACCCAAATGTCTATACTACCAAAAGAAACTTACAGGGTCAATGCAATCCCTATCAAAATGCCAAAAACATTCTTTATAGACTTAGAAAAACAATACTAAAATTTATACGGAATCACAAATGACCACAAATAGCCAAGATGCCCTGAGTAAGAAAAGTCAAGCTGGAGGTACCACAGTACCTGATTTCAAATCACGAAACAAAACTACAGTAATTAAAATAGCTTGGTATTGGCATAAAAACCGATGCATAGATCAGTGGAACCGAATAGAGAACCTAAAAATTAATCCATATACATACAGCCAATTGATTTTTGACAAAGGTGCTCACACCATAGAGTGGAGTAATGGCAAGAAATGGCACTGGAAAACATGGATGTATGTATGTTGAAGAATGAAATTAGATTTGTACCTGTCATCCCATAAAAAAAATCAACTCAAGATGGAACAAAGACCTAAATTTAAGACCTAAGACTATGAAACTACTGGAAGAAAATGTAAGGGAAACACTCTAAGACATTGATGCAGGGGGTGACTTCTTGGACAAGACCCCCAAAGCACAGGCAACAAAAGCAAAACTAAGCTAATGGGACATATCAAACTCAGAAGCTGCTGTACAGCAAAGAAAACAACCAATAGAGTGAAGAGACATCCATTTGAAAATACTTTCAAACCACCCATGTGACAAAGATCAATATCTTGAATATATCAGCAACTTCATAACTCAACAACAACAAAACACAACCAATCCAGTTGAGAAATGGGCAAAAGGCTAAATATACAGTTATCAAAAGATGAAATCCAAATGGTGCAGTGGGTTAACACCTTGGCCTAAAGTGCCAGCATCTCATATGGGCGCCGGTTCAAGTCCCAGCTGTTTCACTTCCTATCCAGCTTTCTGCTATAGCCTGGGAAAGCAGTAGAAGATGGCCCAAGTCTTTGGGCCCCTGCACCTGTGTGGAAGATCCGGAAGAAACTCCTGGCTCCTGGCTTCGGATCGGCGCAGCTCAGGCTGTTGCAGCCAACCGGGGAGTGAATCAATGGGTGGAAGACCTCTCTCTCTCTCTCTCTCTCTCTCTCCCACTCTCTCTCTCTTTCTCCCTCTGCCTCTCCTCTCTCTGTGTAACTCTGACTTTCAAATAAATAAATAAATCTTTTAAAAAAAGAATGTTGTGCTACCATAGCTTTAATGCTTGCGATTACTTTAAAATTTCCTCTGTGTGGGTAAAATAGTCATTTTTCCACTCAATTATTGTTGAAAGCCATTCTCTATATTCCCACTAAACAAGAGTCTTTTTTCTTTTTACTTGTTTAACTTCTTATTTGCTGAAGTATTTACCTTTCTACTGTTATGTAATATTTAAATGTTATCTCAAAAACTAAAATATAGACAAAAATGGGAGAAGGAAAGAGGGTGGGAGGAAGAAGTGGGAGGGAGGGAGGGAAGGAGGAAGGAAGGCAGGGATTACTGTTTTCTTTTTTAAATTATTTTTTATTTATTTGAAAGAAAGAGTTACAGAGAAAGGGAGAGACAGAGAGAGGCGTCTTCCATCTGCTGGCTCACTCCCCAAATGGTTGCAATGGCTGGAGCTGCGCCGATCCAAAGCCAGGAGTCAGGAGCTTCTTCTGGGTTCCCCACATGGGTGCAGGGGCCCAAGGACTTGGGCCATATTCTACTGCTTTCCCAGGCCACATAACAGAGAGCTGGATGGGAAGTGGAGCAGCCGGGACTCAAACCGGCACCCATATGGGATGCCAGCACTACATACGGTGGCTTTAACCCACTATGTCACAGCTCCGGCCTCAATTATCATTATTTTTTTAGAGTTGTATCTACAGATTCCAAGACGGTGAAACAGATAAGAGGACATACTGCTCTAGGGTAGGGGAAATAGTAAAAAAAAATTGTAATAAATGCATTCTCAGGGGAGAGGTAGAGAGAAAACTGCAGTGGAAATTCTACAGAAGGAAGAGGAACACAGTGGATCTGTGTGGAAGGTGAGGACACACAGCAGCAAACACGGACACAAGACATGACTCCAGTGGACAAGAGCCCGATAAAGCACCAGCTTATGAGAGCAGATTGCATCATCCCGTGTCACGGGTGATACAGCCAGATGGAGAGCCTGGTGGACTACACTATCTTTAAGTCAGTCCTGGAGCCCTAAGGGGAACAGGGTATCTGCTAGCCCAGCAAAAAAGAAGGGGCAGGTTTCTTTCTCCCCATAGCCCCCAAAATGGCCCCCTTCTGAGAGAGAGCAGGCACCATTTTGGACATAATTAGTAGGTGAGGCATGCTCTTGTGCATGCACCAAGCAACTGGAGAGGAAAAGACGCCATCTTGACAGCAGTAGCTATGACAGCAGCTCCAATGCACGCAACCAGCAACAGGTGTGGAAAAGCCATTCTGACAACATTACTGACTGCAGAGGCTCTTGTGCATGCCTGGCAGGGTGGGCGCAGGCATGGGTGCAAGGGCCCAAGAACTTGGACCATCCTCGTCTGCTTTCCCAGGCCATAGCAGAGAGCTGGATCAGAAGAGGAGCAGTCAGGACTCGAACCAGCGTCCACAAGGGATGCCTGCACTGCAGGCGGCGGCTTTACCAGCTATGCCACAGCGCCGCCCCCCAAAATAAATCTTTAATAATAAATAAATAAATAAATGAAATCGTTGATTTATAGTGCTTAGCCCCATTTCAGGCACATATGAAATGTGGTATGATCTGCATGTCACAGATTCTGGAAAATTCTCCCTTTCCTTCCAGCAATTGGCAAAAGCACACCTTTGCTCACAGTCTCTGCTGCCCTCAGAGTGCTTAAGCTCTTTCATTGTAGCAAATCTAGGATGTGAAAATGCATTTTTAGTTCATATCCTCATGATCAGTGGTGGAGAACATGTCTTGGGGATGCTGTGGGCCAGTGGTAAACTTGCTTCTGTGACTTAAAGTGGATTGGAAGTTCCTGTGGGCTTGGGGTTATGGGAGTGGTTTGTAAAATCTGACACCAAAGAGGCAGGCCAGCGAAGTGTTACAGGCTCCCAGTCCCGGATATTTGAATACAGGTGGAGCAGCTGCAACAGAGACAGCACAGCCAGAAGCCTTAAGATACTTGCCACGAGCTGAGGCCTAGGCTGACCTCTGGTCATTGGAGACGGGTTTGCTCGTCCATGTTGCTACGAGGACGTAGGTGTGGTAGTGGAATAGAGCCTACACATCGTTCCTACTTGACGGCTCCACAGCCACCATTACACGACCCTGAGGCAGAGGCTGCCACCTGCCCCGAGCTCTACAGTGAGGAAACCGAGACCCTGAGACCCGGCTGCCCCTCTAAGGCAGATGCCAACAGTGTGGGAGGGAAAGGAAGGTGGGGCGAGCCCAGGACGCGCACGTTCCGCCACAGGACTGGCCACCAACCACCCAATCGCGCGCCACGATTGGCAGCCACTGAATGACCCTGTCCCTATTGGCTGGGTCTTTCCTTGAGTGGCAGCGCAGGAGGGAGTGCCAACAGTGAGAGGTGGGCTGGGCGTCACGAGAGACCACGAGGCAAGCCTCGCGTGGTTTGAGGAGGTTCCCTTCGACCCTTGCGGTAACGGCCGGGTCCAGGCGTCGTCCTCCTGACGCGCCCCTTCCCACCGCGAGGATTGTGCCCAGTCCACCGTCTCCCCTCAGCCCTGTCCGCCCGCACGTGCGCCATGAGCTCCCACAGTGGGGCGTCAGGCTTTAGCGATGGTAGCGGCCCAGAGCGCGAGGAGCAGACCGCCGCAGGTGGTGGCGGAGCCTCGCGGGCAGCAGCAGCAGGGCTTGGTTTGGGGGCCAGCGGGCAGCGGCGAGGTTCCAGCCCCGGTGCGAGGGCGGAGGGGACGGCGGGCCCTCCAGCGTGCAGGCCCCCAAGTGGCAGCTGGCGTCGGATCGCGGGGCCGAGGGCCCAGCCGCAAATGGCCCAGGCGGGGGCGGGCGTGCTCGGGGGTGCTGAGGGCCCGCCTGGCACCCCCGTCCTGGAGGGCGAGGGCACGGGGGCTCCCGCGTCCCAGGTCGCTGAGGGCTGTGCGGGCCCCGAGCGGCCACTGAGCGGCCCGGGGGACGGGGCCCGGCGCCGACTGCCGAGCGCTGAGGCGGCCGCCATCTTGGCTCGCGTCGAGGCCGGCGGTGGCGGCAGAGGCGTGCTGGGGGCGAGCTGTGAGGAATTCCTGCAGGCTTGTGCGGCCCCTCTGCAAGTGAGTGCCCGCAGGGAAGGCCGGGCCGAGGCCCGCAGCGAGATGGGAGGCGGCAGCCCTCGGGGGCAGCGCGCCTACGGGGAAGGCCCCGAGGGGCTGTCTTCCGGCTCAGAGGCCTCCTCCGAGCTGGAGGACGTGCAGCCCAGGAGGGGGAGCATTCGGCTGAAAGCAGGGGGCCAGGCCAAGGGCAGCAGCTCCGAGGTTCTGGCAGAGAGCCCCAGGCACGCGACTCCCCACAGCAGGGAGCAGTTCGCCCCCACGCCAGGCCCTCCCCGCACCTCTGCGCGGGGTCCCACTTGCCACCCAGAAAGGCCGGCGGCGGGGGAGCTGGGGCCCTCTGCCTCTAAGAAAATGCAGGGCGAGGTGTCCGGGAAGGCAGGGGCCAGGCCAAGGCACCCAGGAGCGGCTGCAGCTGCTGCCAGGGCAGGGGGCTGCTCTCAGGCCACTCCCCGGAGGAAGGTGACCCAGGAGAACCCCCCAGGGGTTGCCCCCGAAGTTGGCCCGGGCGCAGCCTTTGCTCCCTGGCTCCAGAGGCAAGCCACAGCTCCCCGGGAAGCGGCCGGCTTGCTCCCATTCTGCGCTTCACTGCTTGGCAAGCCCAGCACAGCGTTCCCTTGGGGACGCAAGCCGTCGAAGCAGGGTGGCGCTGGGAAGAAAGCTCAGGCCAGGAGGAAGTCCCAGGCTGTGGAGACTCGAGAGAGTGGCGCGAAGAGAGATCCAGTCGCCGGTGCGCACGTAAGCACCGCATGCCTTCTGCTCTCCATCCCGGTCCACGTGCGCGCTGAGATTCCTCCCCTGGCACGCACCCGTCGTCTCGGGCTCCCCGTCCCTTCCCGGAGGCAGGCTGTTCGAGCCCTCGGTCATCCGCTGTGGAATTGAGGTCCTCAGGGCAGGGACAGATGTTGAGAGGGCACCTGCTAGGTAGCGGCACTGTTCTGCACGTCTGCGTGGTCCTGCTTCCTGTGCAGAGGGGAGCTGGGGCGGACGGCAGGGCTGCGGCTGATGTGGAACACGGCATTGGGCTGCCAGCCTCAGGGTTGACTTTCCGCAGCCTCCCAGTTCCTGCCTGCCAGCTGCATCCCAAGGCCGCATGGCAGGAGGGGTGGGCTTCTCCTCACCTCCATCATCTCCCTGCCTCAGAGATGCCCCCTGGCCTGAGGTTCCCGGATGGAGAAAGAGCCTCCAGGTCCACTGCCTTCTCCTGACCTCACCTCACCATGGCCGTACGTGCCCGCCGCACACTCCCACAGACGCCTAGCGCCCCTACACACACACTGCACTCTCACTGATGCCTGGCGCCCCTGCGCACACACCACACACTCCCACTGACGCCTAGCGCCCCTGCACACACACCGCACACTGTCACTGACGCCTAGCGCCCCTGCGCACACACCGCACACTGTCACTGAAGCCTGGTGCCCCTGCGCACACACCGCACACTGTCACTGAAGCCTGGTGCCCTTGCGCACACACCGCACACTGTCTCTGACGCCTAGCCCAGCTTTGAGAAATTTTGGTTTTAGTTTCTGTCTAGCAGGCCCCCGACGTCTTACCAGCATCGTGGAGAATTCAGCATGGGGTCCCTACCCCCCAAGAAGTACGAGCTCTGAGGAACCTGCAGTCCCTGTTGCAGAGCTCGGGAGCTGTCCCACCTAGAGGCCGTGCACGCTCCGGTACTTTCAGTAGGGTTCATTCGGGGAACTAGGAGGGATAGAGGAGGGAAGCCCCCGGCCCTGTCACCTCTGGGGTCTCAGCCTTGCTCCACGGCTTCCCTGCCTATGCAGTCAGCTGTCCACAGGAAACGGGGGTCATCAGGGATGCCCCGAAGCCACAGCCTCCTCTGAGTGGAGTGTACGTGGTGGGGGTGGTTTGTTGCTGGGCCCCAAGCTCCAAAACCAGAAGTAGGTGGACAGTTTAACAGAGCTGTTCCTGCGAAGTCCTGCATAGCTCATGGCCCCTCTCGGGAGCTGGCTGGGCCTGTGGCTCTGCTCTGCGCCCCAGAGCCACAGTCCTAGGGAGCCACAGTGGCACACGGGCTGACACGGTGGGGCAGGGAAGGCTGGCACAGAGCAGGGGTCGAGGCCCTGGGCAGAGCACGGGCAACTTGTTGTCAGCAGAGGTCGAGGCTGCCTCACATTAGACCACTCCAGGCCCTTTCCACCTCACTCCCGGGCTGGGAGCTGGATTGTGCTTTCTGTTTCAGGAGACCAGGAGCCACCTGTCCGTCCTCGGAGACCAGCAGTGCAGCAGTTACCACCTGGAATCGAGGGCTGTCCTCGGGTAATGCTGTCTCCGGCTGCTAGAAATGAGGGTCCAAATTCCCTGGTGGGATCCGTGTCCTGGTCCAGCTCACCCTTGTGCCCCTGCTCACCGTCGCACACGCCATGGATAGTGGGCGCTCCTTTCATTTCGCATTTCAAGGCAGCCTGCCCACCGGGGTGTGGGAGGTGCCAGACGTCAGGGCCAGCGAGGCGGATGGGGAAGGGGGAGGCCGTAATATTCTCTCTCTCTCTCTCTCTCGTTCATTGGTTCAGTGTGTTGTGCTACAGAAGGAGGTAGAAGACCTTAAAGAAGAACTAGGTATGACAAAGCCCAGGCTGGGATGGGACTGGGGCAGACCAAGTAGTCGTTTTGTGAGCAAGCAGTCACTTTGCAGGTGCCAGAGCATGGGGTGGAGGTGGGTTGCGGGTGCGGGCAGTAACACTGGGACCCTCATTCCAGAGGAGAGCAGAACCAAGCAGGCCTCCTGGAGCTCTGTGTGTTTTTGTAGCCAGGGGTTGCACAGGGGGAAGTGCACTTCCGAGCTGAATTTTGCCAAAGAGACCCAGAGATCTCCTTCCTCGAGATGTTTAGAGCTACTGCATGGGTTTGGCCTGGTGGTGGTGCTTGTTGTGACTTGTGAGGGTTCTGCTGTTGGTTGGTTGGTTGCTGTTTAACATGTTCTGAATGGTTCTGATACGACCCGACGATTGAGAACCACTGGTCCGTTTTGGTCCTGTTTAGAAGAAGTTTCCACAGGTAATTCAGGCGATGGTGGGTGGTGTGTCCCAGGCTGTTTGGGGGGGGGCTGGAAGGGTTGCACGGGGGCAGGGCTAGGTGATCGCTTCCCCCCTCCCCGGGAGCACAGAACCAGGTTTCCGTAGGGCTGACTGCAGTGCCTTGTGTCTCTGTTCCAGCCATCTTGATGTGCATCACTGAGAAGTTCGGGGGGATGTGAAGTGAGTGTTCCCCTGCCATGCCACTTGCCACCATCCTGGCTGTTTAGGAGGGAGGCGGGCAGGCCCTGGCCTGGGTTCGACCTTGCTCTGGCTCTGCTCTACTCCACAGGGGGAACCCAGAATCCTCCACCAGACACAGAGCCGCTTCCCTCCAGATACACGTCAATAGGACCTTCCTCTCTGCGTCTGCTTTTGCCCCTTCCCCAGTTCACCCCAGTTCCAAGTTAAATTACCTCTCGTGTTCTGTGCTCTGCCCTCTCTGGCGCATTGGGAGCTGCACCATGTCCGAGCGTTTTACACGCAGTTCCCCTGTTCTGTTTGCACCACAATAAACTTGTGTTTTAATTGCATTTTCTGCCAACATTGCGTGGAATTCCTGTGTTGGCCTCATCTGCCCCGGGGCCCGGGGCAGTTCAGATACAGTCCCATATCTGGACTTGTCGCCCTCTGGTAGCAGTGTGCTCAGGGAACGCTCATGCAGACCCTGCAGGTCAGCCTGGTTTCCTTGGCAGGCCTCAGCTTCGAAAGTCAGTCAGCAGACGCTTGTGGTTCTCCTTGCCCAGTTTCAGTGGAAGGGTGGAGGCAGGAGTCGCATCCCAGAGAGTGCTGGAGCAAAGGGCAGGCTCACCTCTGGATTAGCGATGGGGAAGTGAGTCTGTGGTTCCTTGCGGGTGAAGTGAAGACCCGCTGACGACGAGAGCGTCCCCATCCTTCACATCCTAGCCGCCCAGCCGCTTCTCTGCTGATGAGCTCCATGTCCCCGCTGGTGAACGGCCGGTTTGTTTCTAGGGCCAGCGGCAGCCTCGGATTGGAATGTCCTGCATGGTCCTCATCAAAGGGGAAAACTCGAAACAAGAGACTACCACTTTAGGGCGCGTCAAGGCAAAGTCGCCAGAAGAGAGGAACATTGAGATACTGAATAAATGCCAGCTCTAGCAATCAGAATGCTCGCCCTGCCCTGGGTTGCTTGTCTGTGAATAGTCCCTGTATGTGGGTGGGGGAGGAAGAGGTAGTGAACTAAACTCTCTACCCAGAGGTAGTACTCTAATACAAGTATATCATTAGGGGCCATTGCTGTGGTGTAGTGGGCAAAGAAACCGCCTGCAGTGCCGGCATCCCACATGGGAGCCAGTCTGAGTCCCAGCTGCTCCAATTCCCGTCCAGCTCCCTGCTATGGCCTGGGAAAGCAGTGGAGATGGCCCAACTTCTTGGGCCCCTGCACCCCCATGGGAGACCCAGAAGAGTTTCCTGGCTCCTGGCTTCAGATATGCGCAGCTACATCCATTGCAGCCATCTGGGGAGTGAACTAGCAGATGGAAGACCCATCTCTCTGCCTCTCTGTCTTTGTTCTGTCTCTCTCTCTCTTTCTGCCTCTCTGTGACTCTGCCGTTCAAATAAAATAAATAAATCTAAAAAAAAAACAAGTATATTATAAATACATGATTTGCATGAGGTCCATGTCCCATGGGTTAAAGCTTCATCATTGATTCAATTGGAGATCCAGTTACGTACTAAAGTATTTGTCTAACAAAAAGACAAAAGGACACTGCTTGGCTTCTTGGCCTTCATAACATTGAGCTTCTAACTTCACTATAACATGTGCCAAAATGCACTACTTGATAGGAAATCACAAATTTAATTCTTGGACTCAAATTATCATTATACCTGGGGATTCCACTGATATTAGAATCTGCTCCTAGGGTCTGGTGCTGTGGCCTAGCAGGTAAAGCCGCCGCCTGCAGTGCTGCCATCATATACGGGCACCGATACGAGTCCCAGAAAAAGACCCTGGAAGCACAGGCATTAAAAGCCAAAATTAAGAACTAGGATTGCATCAAATTGAGAAGTTTCTGTACTGCAAAAGAAACAGTCAGGAGAGTGAAGAGACAACCGACAGAATGGGAAAAATATTTGCAAACTCTGCAACAGATAAAGGGTAAATAAGCAGAATCTACAAAAAGATCAAGAAATTCCACAACAACAAAATAAGCAACCCATTTAAGAGATTGGCCAAGCACCTCAATAGACATGTTTCAAAAGAGGAAATCCAAATGGCCAACAGGCACATGAAAAAATGTTCAAGGTCACCAGCAATCAGGGAATTGCAAATCAAAACCACAATGAGGTTTCACCTCACCCTGGTTAGAATGATTCACATACAGAAATCTACCAACAACAGATGCTAGCTAGGATGTGGGGAAAAAGGGACACTAACCCACTGTTGGTGGGAATGCAAACTGCTAAAGCCACTGTGGAAGTCAGTCTGGAGATTCCTCAGAAACCTGAATATAACCCTACCATACAACCCAGCCATCCCACTCCTTGGAATTTACCCAAAAGAAATTAAATTGGCAAACAAGCAAGCTGTATGCACCTTAATGTTTATTGCAGCTCAATTCACAATAGCTAAGACCTGGAATCAACCCAAATACCCATCAACAGTAGACTAGATAAAGAAATTATGGGATATATACTCTATAGAATACTATACAGCAGTCAAAAACAATGAAATCCGGTCATTTGCAACAAGATGGAGGAATCTGGAAAACATCATGCTGAGTGAAATAAGCCAGTTCCAAAGGGACAAATATCATATGTTCTCCCTGATCGTTGACAACTAACTGAGCACCAAAAAGGAAAACTGTTGAAGTGAAATGGACACTATGAGAAACGGTGACTTGATTGGCCCTTGTCCTGACTGTTGTTGAACAACATAATACTTTATCCCCTTTAGTATTTTTTTTGTTCTACTTAATGCTCTTGGTTGAACTCTGTAATTAACACACAATTATTCTTAGGTGTTTAAACTTAACTGAAAAGTGATCCCTGTTAAATCTAAGAGTGGGAATAAGAGAGGGAAGAGATGTACAATTTGGGACATGCTCAATCTGACTTGCCCCAAACGTCTGTAGAGTTAGAAACACGCCAGGGGATTCCAATTCATTCCCATCAAGGTGGCATGTACCACTGCATCTCACTAGTCCAAGTGATCAATTTCAGTTCACAATTGATCATAATGATAGGTTGAAGAGTCAAAGAGATCACATAAACAAGACTAGTGTCTGCTAATACTAACTGATAGAATTAAGAAGGAGAGAATGATCCAACATGGGAAGTGGGATACACAGCAGACTCATAGAATGGCAGATGTCCTAAACAGCACTCTGGCCTCAGAATTAGCCCTTAAGGCATTTGGATCCAGCTAAAAAGCCCATGAGAGTATTTAGGCATGGAAAGCCAAGACACTCTGGTCGAACAGATATAGAAAGAGACACGAAATAGGAAAAAAAAGAGGACCTAAATGAAAGATCTCTGTGAGTGAGATCCCAGTGGAAAGAACGGGCCATCAAAGAAGGAGGTACCTTTCTCTGAAGGGAGGAGAGAACCTCCACTTTGACTATGACCTTGTCTAAATAAGATCAGAGTCTGTGAACTCAAAATGCTTCCATAGCCTTGGCAACTCATGACAAGAGCCTAGGGTGATTACTGATGCCATAAACAAGAGTGTCCATTTGTTAAGTCAACAACAGGAGTCACTGTGCACTTACTCCTCATGTAGGATCTCTGTCCTTAATGTGCTGTACATTGTGATTTAACGCTATAACTAGTACTCAAACAGTATTTTACACTTTGTGTTTCTGTGTGGGTGCAAACTGTTGAATTCTTTACTTAATATATGCTAAACTGATCTCCTGTATATAAAGATAATTGAAAATGAATCTTGGTGCGAATGGAATGGGAGAGGGAGTGGGAGATGGGAGGGTTGCGAGTGGGAGGGAAGTTATGGCGGGGAAGCCATTGTAATCCATAAACTGTACTTTGGAAATTTATATTTATTAAATAAAAGTTAAAAAAAAGAAAGTACTAGACCTAACACATGAGGTGGGCAGGAATAGGCTGGACCATTCCAGATGCTCCAGAGATGGTTTGGGTCTAACAGTAAAATGGGTATGCGGTGCAAAGAATATCCTGAAAGACTCTGGCATGTTTGAATTGCATCCCACCCTGTAACAGACTGAGGCAGCCTTGAACCCAGAATTTTCCAAGAGGGGGGTAGGTAGGCAGGAAGGGAAAGGGAAAGGGAAAATCAGCAACGTCCTAAACATCATGACTTTTCTGCACTACAAATAGTTTCTGAATCCAGATTTCTCTTTACATGATGGAATAGAAATCAGAAGGGAAACGTGTGTGTGTGTGTGTGTGTGTGTGTGCTACTTATTCCAAGATTGCTACTGGAATGTGTTTTGTGGTCTCAGGAGCCATGTTAGGTTTCTCACATAGCTGCAAAGACAGTTTGTCTCTGATATTGATGTATTGTCATATGCTAAGTTTAGGTTCAACTCCTCAAACTTTTTAGGACTTAAATTTTCAGAGGCCTTAATAATGACACAACATAAAATATAAGACAACCTAACTTGAGGGAATTCATCGCAACCAGACCAAGCTTAGAAAAAGATGTTTAAGAGAATCCTCAAGGAGCAAAAGAAAAATAGCTACCACGATAAAACACATCAAAGTACAAATCCCACTGGAAGAGGAGTTAAACAAAGGAGAAGTAGAAAAGAACCATATTTTATCAATACAGTAGAATCTTTCTCTCTCTCTCTTTCTCTCTCTCTCAAATAAATAATATTTAAAAATTATAGAAATCAAATATATAAGAAATAATGATGACCTAATGATATTCTGCCTACAAGAAATTCACTTCTCCAGGGAAGATACACATGGACTAAGGGCTATAAAAAGATATCTATGGTAAATATCTTCAAGGGAAAAAATAATAGGCAGACAAATCAGAAAGGAGGAAATCAAATTTACTTTACACGTAGATGATATAATTCCATATACAGAGAAATCCAAAGGCTCCACCAAGAGTCTATGAGAACTGGTAAGCAAGTTCCAAAACGTTGCAGGATACAAAATCAATTCAGTAGAATTTTATTATTTTATTCCTATATTTAAATTTTATTGATCCAGCTCCAGGAAATGTGCCTGGAAAAGCAGTGGAAGATGGCCCAAGTGCTTAGGCACCTGCCACCCATGTGGGAGACACAGATGGAGTTCCCTGCTCCTGGCTAGGCCTGACCAAGCCGTAGTCTTTTCAGCAATTTGGGTTGATACACCAAATGGAAGTTACATCTCTCTCTCTGTAACTCTACCTTTCAAATAAATCAATAAATGTTTTTAAAAATAGAATGCTTTCAAATAAAGAATCAAATGGTGCATTCCAAGGAAACCGAAAAGCATAATTCTCAGAGAAAATATGTGAATCACAGACCAAGAGATTTTTGGTTCCCAAATGATGCCTTCAAATTTGGTAAGAATTCCTTGTTTCCCATCTCATCATCCA